CTTGCTTCGCTTGAACAGCCTGCTCAAGTTTTCGCGAAAATTCTGCATCTTGTAGTTGTTCTACAAGTCACACAATAAGTTTTTTTTTTTAATTTTCGTTTGCAAAACAGAAATGTTGCTTGACTCACCAATAATTTCACTGATAGGTGTTTCAAAATGAAACTGCGAATCAAAGTCAGGATCAACACCATTTTTGTGGAGCACGATCTCATTCACACAGCTTTCAATGAGACGGAAATATGAGAGCCTAAAGCCTTACCTCTTAGATAATGAGGAATTGATGCACGTGTGGATTATTTGAAGGCATTAATTGTAATAAAAAAGTAACAATGGTCCTCTGACGCATTTCAAGACAAACCCACTTCTGATAAAAAGTTATAGTGGTATATAGTTTGTTCTTGAATACTGGGATGCAGATACATGTAATTTACTTTGTGATGGAGCATCATCAGACTCTAATCTCGCTGATTTGAATAGAAACAATACACCATAAATAATGGAATTAAAGCAAGTGCCCTCTCATTACCTTCCATTACTGCTATGGATCAAAAGATGCTTTTAGCTCTACATTGTCGAGGTGTGTTGAGAAGGGCTACCAAATGTGAGTGTTAGTTAATACTTTAAGTCGTGTTCTTGTCGAAACAAATTGCGAGATAATAGCCAAGATTATGTAGTATCTCAACAGCAAAGACTCTCATAATTCGAAAATGCTGCATAAAAAATAGAGTGAGTTATTTTCTTGTACAGAACAACCAATCAAAAATTCGATATTTTTCTAAAAACTGACAATGTGTTGATTAGTATTTGAATTTTATTTCAATGAAAGCGCTGTAACTTAAATAAGAACTTTTTAGAGAAAAAGAAATTTAGTGACTTTGGCCATTCAAAATGAGAGGCTTATCCAAAAAGCCTCAAAATATTGTTTTCAAGTCTATGAACCTTCTGTGAGTTATGGAATTTTTATCCGCGACTAGTAGCTAATGCCATTTAGCGTTCGACTAAGCATTCACCCTAAACAATGACTTACTTAACAGCCTAGTTGTCAACTAGAGTAGGGTAAAAAATAAGTTTTTGCTTCTTTTTTAATGATATAACACACTTCATTTTTCGCAATGCTTAATGATTTTTCTTAAAGGTCGCTCAACAAATACGGGATGTAATTTTGAAATTAGCGTTTCAAAAAGCATGTAGTGATATGTTCCTTATTCCGAACAGCTATGTTCATATTCAAAATTCATTGAAGAGTGGTAGAGGCTTACAGCCATGTATCTTTAATACCTCACAATCAAGGCTATTCCTCTTTGTTTTATATACTTTCTCAGAGCTGCAGGATTACAACTAGTTTAGTGATCTGTATCAACAAACAGCTAACCTTACTGAAACAT